GCTCAGGTAGGAAGGGGAGGTCTGAGCTGTCCTGTCCCAGGTGGGGGTGCCCTGCCTGGTGACTGGGAGGTGCCACCACACACACGTGCTCGCCCAGGCTGAGGGCCTCTGTGCTGAGGCTACTCACTCCTCTGTAAAGTGTGAAAACCAGTCACACACCTGTCACCTGGCGATGGTGGAGATGGGGACCTGGTTCCCAGCAGTTGGAGGTCACAGGGACAGTCCCTGTAAAGGACAGACCTCCAGGTGGGATGTTGGCCCACCTCCCATATGTCCATCCTCACATTCCCTGACCCCGCCCTGGGTCTGTAATCACAGTTCTGGAAACTTCTCTGGGGTCCAGGGTTACTGGCTCTGAGGACCCCATCTGAGGACCCCATGAACCTGTCCCTCACAGGGTGTTTTCTCCTCACAGGTGGAAAGAAAGGGCACTACACTCAGACTGCCTATGAGTATGAGGGGAGGGTGACCTGACCCCTGGGACAGCACAGACAGGAGCCCGTGGGGAACACCCGCCATATTCCTCCTCTTGCTCCTCCCCTGTGGCTCTGACCAGGCCCTGTGTTTGTCCCCCCAGGCAGTGACAGTGCCCACGACTGTGATGTGTCTCCCATGGCTCCTAAAGGTGAGACCCTGCAGGGTTGGTGGGAGGAGACGGGAAGAGGGGACAGTACTGGACTGTGGGGATCTGGGTTTGGACGGTGGGGAACACCCGCCATATTCCTCCTCTTGCTCCTCCCCTGTGGCTCTGACCAGGCCCTGTGTTTGTCCCCCCAGGCAGTGACAGTGCCCACGACTGTGATGTGTCTCCCATGGCTCCTAAAGGTGAGACCCTGCAGGGTTGGTGGGAGGAGACGGGAAGAGGGGACAGTACTGGACTGTGGGGATCTGGGTTTGGACGTGTTGAGTACTTGAAGGCCTCGTCAGAGGTTCCTGTTACAGTGACTGACGTGAGTTGTTCACGATTCTCTCCTTAGTGTGAGACAGCGGCTGTGAGGACAGAGTGACATGAGATTGCTCAGTCTCTGCACCCACCACTGTTGACGTCAGGATCCTCAACTGCTCTTTCTGTAACTGGCGTTTGAACGTGTCTGCTTGTCTGTGTCCCTGCAGCCTAATGTGAGTAAACAGGGACTCAGCCCATCTCTGACACCAGGGCCTCTCCCCACTGCCCTGGGCCCTCTGCCCTCTGCCCTGACCAGCTTTCCTGCTCCAGGAGGAGCAGGACGGGACATCCCCACCCCGAGTCTGCTTGTGGCAAACTGAGTTGCAACTTCCTACCTCCCTCTTGAAGATAAGGATATGAATATCAATGTGTTTTTTTTAAATTCTTGCTATTAGACCTGGTTACTGGGTAAATTAAAGCAGAAGACTTTTTATACCCACATAAAGAGATAAAACCTGACAGCCACCCAGAGTCTGTGTTAGCTGTGCTGGGTCTGCTGCAGTGGGAACAGAAGGAGGCTGTGAGGTGCCGAGTGTGGATGGGGCTGTCTAATCAGCACTTCGTCCATTGTGGGTTTGCTGAGGTCACGCCTCTGGGTCACCTTTACTGTTGCTTTGTCCTTGTCCTTCAGTAGAACTTTGTCTCACTTGGGTCTGTGACCACAGGGACTCAACATCCCGCTTTGGGCAGCGAGGGCCCTGTGTGCCCTGTCAGCCGGGGCCCAGGCCTGGGTCTGCCCTCACGGCTCACTTGGTGCATTTTTCTGTTGTTTCTTTGTGTCTGTGAAGGAGTTGCTTGTTCTTGTTCTCATGTCCCAGTTCTACTCTCGTTCTCTGAGTGTCCCTCCTCTGACAGCAGCAGAAGTCCCTTTCCTGTCACTATTCCATAAGGACCAGGTAGCCCCAGGTCACGGGAGTCTCTGGTATCAAAAGATGGGTTTTCTGACTCATCCAGTGCTTGCCTTTCTTCTAGAGCTGTTTCCTGGGTTGTATTTCCCATTTCCACATCATTTATTTTTTTAAAGGAGACTTTTGCTGTAGGGTGTGTGCACTCACCAGAGACACAGAGGCAGACAGAAACAAAGAACCTGAGGAATCACACTTGGGGTGATGGCCATGCCGCAGTTCCTTCTCCACTCTCCTCTCGGGATCTTGGGCACACACACACCTCAGCGTGAGTTTCGAGTCTCTGGGTCTGGACTGAACATAGTGGACCCTGTGGGAGTCCAGTGCCTTCACCCCTGCTCCACCTGCTGGCCCCTCCCCATCACTTTCTAAAAACCATATTCTGGAATTTGCAGAGAAAAAAGATCTCAAAATAACTTGTTTTAACTAAATTTCTGCTGGAATCTTCCTCTACTGGCCTACCCCTTCTTGCTCTTAGCTGTAGATATCCCAGCTGTGATTCCAGTCAAACTCAGGGATTCAGGAAGTAGAATCTAATTTAGATTTATATTTGTTCTTAAAATAAGACACACATGGGGACGATCCTTCTCATTTGAAAAAAGAAACCTACGTATGTGCGGTAGGGCTGGCAGGGGAGGGAGGGAGAGCAACACTGAGAGCTCAGGGGCTGAGGTCAGGGCGGGAAGACAAGGACAGGACACTGTGGTGCCACTGACAGCTGCATCCCCCTGAGTTCACACAGGGAAGGTGCTCTGCAGGGATCTCCCATTCAGCTGACATTGGGTGGGGACTGTCTGCCACACTGTTTCTGCTGGTTTACTCCCGCTAACTAAAAATAGACTAGAATCGCCAGCCTTGTGAAATATGTTCTTGTGGAAAGAGACAGACTGCGTTCTCTAAGTAAATGACAAGAGTACTTATGCTGGAAGGTGATGAGTGCTGGGTGTGAGGTCAGGGAAGGGGTCTGTTCTACTAGGGAGGTCAACGTGGGCCTCATTGGCAAGGAGACTTTAGAGGAAAGATTTCAAGGACACAGGAACTATCCATCAGCAAGTCTTGGGAAAGGCCTTACCAGGCAGCAGAAACCTCCAGGGAAAGTGTGAGGGACAGGATCTTGTCTGTTCTGGGAAAGACAAGGACTATGGTGAGTCTGGAGCAGAGTAATTTGAGGGGAGGTCAGAGGTCAGGACAGAATATGTAGGCCTGGGGGATGCAGGAAGGAGTCTTACTCTGAGCGAGATCTTTCTGAGCAAAGACAGGCATGTCCAGCTTCTCTCCTGAAAGGCTCTCTGGATTCTGAGCTGAGCACAGAATCGGGAGAGGAGGGGATGAGGAGGTGGGAGCTGTGAGGAACAGTGTGGGGTCCAGGCCAGAGAAGCTGCTCCTTCATCTGGGTGAGCAGTGGGAACAGCAGGGACGACTGAGTTCTGGATAGGTCCTGGAGGGGGCGTTCACAGCATTTCCTCATAAACCAAATCAGATGTGAGGAAGAGGCATCAGGGAGGACACCATAACTAGAGATGGAGGTGCTGTGAGTGACATTGGGGAGGACCCTGGTGGGAGCACATCTGAGGGACAGGAGCCCAGTGTCCAGGGTAGGAAATGTGGACTCTGAAGACTGTTAGAAATGTAGTTGAGGGGGTGAGGGACAGTTAGACAGATGAGTCTGGAGTTTCAGAGAAATGTCTGGGCTGGAGAAAGAGATATGAGCTGATGTTGTATAACTGGTATTTAGAGAACTCTTGAGAGCTCCCCGTGAATGAGTTGCTAAGAAGAGAAAGGCAACAGGGACGAGCACTGGGCAGGGCACACTCCCAGAGCAGACCACAGTTACGCACTGTGTCTGGCAGGCACGTAGACCCGGGAGCCCCACACTGTCCTGTGCTCCAGGAATCCCTGGGCTTCCCCTTCAGCCTCAGATGGTCTAAGTGAAGCACGAGGTTCCATATTTACAACCAGGTTCCTATTGGCACAGATGATATTAGTTCTCAGATCACACTGTGAGCAGCAAGAACGTCGACCACATCCTAGACTGGGCCTCAGGCTCCCTGGGAGATAAGCAACCCGTGGACACAGCACTCCACATTCCAACACTGGGTGTCTGTGGAGAGGCCTGAGTGACGAGCCCACCAGCATGCCCAGTGCTCAGCTGGAGTTGGAACCACTGAGGTCAGCGATCAGAGAGCACTGAGGGTTGGGAAAGCTTGAGTATGTGGTTTGAATCTCAGACTTATGGTTCAAAACATGATGGGCATATGTGCACAGAATCTCATGAGGAGAATGGAGGAGAAGGGATTGTGGCATGGTTATCTCTGCTTAGGAGTCCTTTTTTGCTCTCTCTCTCTCTCTGTTTTCAGTGAGCACACATGTCCAATGACAATTACTTTTAAAGCCTATTTATTTACTTGTGTGAAATAGAAGGGGATGGAGAGAGAGAGAGAAGCACCCTGAGCTGGGATCTTACATCATCTCCACCTGCAGTCTAGGTCTCAGCCGGCCCCTGGCATGGTTCTCTGCATGGGTGCCCAGCATGCTCAGGGAGGGTCCTGACGTGAACCCTGGACCTTTCTTATGTGGATGTGTTGTTTTCCCACTGAGCCACCACCTGGCCCTTCAATTCACATTAAATGTTCAGTTTTTGCCCTCTAAGAAAGAAAAGGAAGGATGTATCTCAGCAATAATGAGACATGATATAAGGAGCTCAGTATCATTTTCTTTTCTGTTTTTTTTTTTTTTTTGCATTAGCTCGTGCTCTAGGATTTTTAATGTTATTGATATTTATATCAATCAGTTCGTATGTTTACTATGCCTCACAGCATTCTTAACATTAAAACAAGCACTTTATAGGAAACCATGAAGTGAGCAGAAAAATCCTGGTGAGACCTAAAAAAGAAACATACAGGGACCAGCAGTTGGTGTAATGGTTATGTCGCTGGACTCCCATGTAGGTGACCGCGGTTCGAGTTCCGGACCCAGTGGCTTAAACACACACTGGGTGTGTGTGCATGCATGCCCAAGATCCCGAGAGGAGAATGGAAGAGAAAGGATTGAGGCATGGCCATCTCCCCTGGGGGGTGAGTTCTTGTTTTTGGTCTCTCTGTCTCTCTGGTGAGTGCACACGCCCTATAGCAAAAACCTCTCCAAAAAAAGAAGAAAAAAAGAAACATACGGCAGAAGTACCAATAAGAGCCTGCATATCTATATGCCCAAACTATGAGTCCCAGTCTATAGAATGGGACGTGGAATTAAGGGAAATAGCCTTAGGGCACATCTAGAAATGCTTCTTTAGTTAAAAAAAAAATTATTTGGATAAGGGAAGTTAAATTAACACATGGAATTTAGTCTGAGTGATGGGATTCTTCCTTGAGGGAATGAAGGTAAATAAAATTAAACTGGGATTATGGGTGAAGAAAGCCTTAAGAGTGATAGAAGTTTAGCAAGAACTAGAAGTCATTGGGGCAGCAGGTGGTGTGGAGGTTAAGGCACCTGGATCCCACATGGCTCACTGGGTGGTTGGAGTCCCAGATCTGGCAGCTTGAAAACCACACTGGGAGCGTGTGCGTGCGTGCTGAAAATTCTGAGAGGAGAATGGAGGAGAGGGATTGCAGTGTGGCCATCCCCTT